CCTTGAGCATTTACTTTACCACATTAGTGCATTGCTTCAGATGGCGGTTGCTTATTCGGTAGAACGCCGAACACAGAACTGGAGGTTTCCGAGTTCAGTTTCTTGCTCCGGTCATGCGCTTTTCTCCCTTCCCATATTGATAAATGAGCACCCCAACTGTGGAAAAAAAACAGAAAACTACGCGCTGCACTTGCCACATCGCTGTAGACTCTGCTTTTAAAAAAGACACTTCTGGCTGATAGTATGAAAACGGAAATTATCACCGCACTATGAATTTTACGTAAAGAAGGGCACCAAAATGGCCCAGTCATGAAACTAGAGCACGAGCGACATTTCAGCAATGGCAAACTTTCCTTATCTTTCTTTCTTATTGATGCTGACTGTGTACTTTATTTGTGCGTATATACAAAAAATAATTTAAAATTTTTTGATATGTTTTAATGACTCAGTGAATCATAGAGTGTTTAGCACGCATACGCATTTTGCTTCCAAAGGCTAAAATGGTCGACTTTGCTTCAAGACTGTTCGATAATTAATATTTTTAACGGAAAAAACATCCTCGTGGTTTGAGCAAAGTCGCTCATCGGCCATCTATCCCAACTAACAATGATTATCCAAGAACAGTTTCTCAAAAGTATCACTGACGTAATACAATGGGGCGTAAACCAATTGACTGCATGCTCACTTTGAAATGAGTAAAAATAAAGTCAATTTAATTACTTTTATTGCATTTGAAAACTTTATAAAGTTCATATCTGGTCAAACGTGACAAAGTGCTTTTTGACCATTCTTGTTATTCCATTTTCGATTCTTTCTGGATGATGGATAACTACCAGTTGTTGCTCATTTATTTAAACCATCTGGTATAATCACACCGAAAAATCTAGAGCATCAGACTTTTCGTTCAATAGTGAAATAAACCAATTCAATAGACTGCATGAAGCACTTGCCTCCATGAATTAAGGAGAACGGGTAGCTTCAAAAATGAAAAAGTGAACAATTGACTTTACTCATCTATGAATATTATTTATTATACTATTTAACATGGCGCTTAGACTATCTTATTAGGAAAGTGAAAAAGAATCTGCAATGTTCTTCCGAATTGGTAGAAGAATATCAGATAAATTTGGCAGTTGCCACAAACCTCCTCAAATGCTCGGCCAGTGTTTTGTAACACTTTTCCCTATATGATAATGGCTAACCGCTGAAAGAATGAATTAGTGGTCCGAGTCTCCCGCTTTCAGGATAACTGACTCTCAAAACAAAGCAAATTTTACACTATCTTTTTCTTGCAGCCTCATCTATTTTTCTTATATCT